ATTTGTAAGTAAACAAAAATCCTTGACATGGGTACTTGAAGACGGTCCTAGAGCTAAGCCCTGAAAGTAATCACGAAATTGATGGTGTATAAACCTACTCCATGAAATTATACATGCGTATGTAACAAGTTTCTGAGCTATCGGTCCAGCGGTATCTGAATTTATCACTGCCAAATATATATATGCAAACCAACTTCCTCTTTTATACTTATACATAACATTATACTACTACTTAAATTATGTTAGTTATTAGTTGTTAGATTTTTTCCAAACCCTCTTTTTTCTTCAGTCTTTGTGATATAGTAGTTAATCTTTTTATCTACATCTTGTCAGCAATCTGTGGCATCTTCAGGGAGTCTCCTATATTATCTTCTTAGATCACTATCACTAATGTCTGTAATATTAAAAAACAAAAAATTTGAACGTGATAAAATCACTGGAGTCGTGACTCCTGTGACTTCATCGTAAATAAATATTGTAGATATTAGTGGTAGTGATGTAAGAAGATTGAACGTGTAGACCTGTAACTCTTCCATAAATGTTACAGTATCAGTATCCATTAATTCATAAATTAGTTCAGGACATTGAAGTGTATGATTGACCTTGCATCTCTTCCAAAGAAGATCCATGGCCTTGAATAGAAATAGCAACAAAACAAAACAAACCCCAGAATGGAGCCATGGGGAACTTCATAAAGGTTTGACCTGCACCTTTGTTGGTGGTCTTTGTCTGATATGGTTTAGGTTTTGCTGTTGCTGTTATGTCTGTGGGTAGGTCATGATCGTAATCAAACACAATTCTTGAGGTTCTTATACTTTAGAAGCGCAATGTTTTGAAGACAAGTAACTTTGTAAGTTTGTACAATTATAACCTTAAAAATATTTTGACAGGTTAAAATAATTTAATATTGCATTCACACAAAATTTTCTTGGATAAAATTAAAGTAAAATTTTTTTAACTCTGCGCATAAAATGATGTTAAAGAGATGGACCATCGACTTAAATACTTCAGTAGACTACTGTACCATCATTTACTGATATACATTTTTGTCGTACTGAGTAATAATTTAGTAGCCTACTCAAGATGGTAACATAAATTAGCACATTTTACCATGATTTTACTCATAATTTTAAACTCCTTCACAAAACCATCTCATACTGTAGTAAGTTAAGTTTTTTTATTGACTGACACGTCTTATAATTTTTTTAAAATATACTCTAAAATTAAAAACATTACACCTAATCTTTTGTTGAATCAACTTTCAACTGTGTTCAAAATGAAAAAAAAAAACTATTGTCTCTTATTTTAAACTTTGACCTTGCGATGTTTAATTAAGGAAGGCAACAATCAACGCACGTGGAGTGTGAGATGTGGACAGTACGCGGGAAAATACAGGAAATTGACGCCTCCTAACAATAGCAGCTTCCGGTCAAAGTGACACTCTGGGCTTAATAGTGTGGTGGTCAGGACATAATGATCAGCTGGTCTTGGTGCATAATATTCTTATCGAATTGTCATCTGGTTAAAAAAATAGTCTCTTAGTTGTCAACTGTTCAGGTACAAAATAGTATAATCTAATTATTGTCAGCTGATCTTGGTGCGAAATGGTCTAATTATAATTATTGTCAGCTGATCTTGGTGCGAAATGGTCTAATTATAATTATTGTCAGCTGATCTTGGTGCAAAATAGTTTGTTCTAATTGTCAGCTGATCGTTTATATAAAATAGTTTGTTTTCAGTTAATAACATTCTTCCCCAAAAAATACTTCCTCAAAAGTAAATCGTTTATGATCGTAAATTCTCTGTTAGAAACTTACACACTATAAATCGCTTAGGCCTACTTGTAAACTTTATTTTAATAAATTGAGTATAAGAAGTTTACTTGTTCCGACGTTCAAAAATTATATGATATTCTCGATTCTCTATCTGCTTAAAAAAAACTTTGGACTATTACCGGTACTTTTCTAAAATAGTATAACATACCATAGTTTAGTTGTTGAAAAATATTTAAAAAAATACTGATAGTACTTTCATATTATGTGTTTTAATGTAAAGAGGTAACATGTAGTATTAAAAAGATATGGAAGCAAAACTGCAGGCTGATAGCCGAATATTTGAAAATTCAATAACAATGCATCTGCAATGATGATTATGCAATCGTAAATGCTAAATGATCTGTAACATCAATGGCCTTGTGCATAGACCGTGAATTTACACATGACTGAAACTATTTCTATTTGTATACTATTTCTCCATTGATTCGAATAATTGGCTAAAATAATACTTCTAAGTGACAAGAAATAAAAGCCTCTGACTTAATGACAATAATACAAAAAAAAACCTAAAAATGATAATTAGATGATTTAAAACAAATAAATAAAATTCAGCAATCAGAAAAAATAAACAGAATTTAAAATTGTGATCTCTACTCTATACATCATAAAAAGTCATAATACAAACGTAAATTTTAAAAGGTTTAAAACTATCAAACCGCGCACCGTAACTACCAAACTCTTTATTTAATACGGAAGCAATACTTTCAAATTCCCAATGCTCCATACTTTTTATGCCTAAATGTTTCTCAGATTGTTTTCTTAAAAACAATTTTTTTTTAAATAAATCCACATCAAACAGTTTAACTTATAAAGCAAAATCTCATATAAAGACAAATACTAAATTGATAAAGCGGTTTCTGAAGTACGCAAAATGTATTTAGAAAGTAATACAATCAATATTCAGCACTGACCTTCATTAATATAAAACTCATGCTGTTCTGTTGAACTAGCAAAGAGAAACTACAAGGACAAAGGTAAGACAGTTGAGGAGTCATTTAGTCATTTAGCAGCTGACAGCTAACTACTGCTTCCTATGTAGCTCAACAAATGATTGATGTAGACCCTACCTAGTCTGCGATTAAATGTTTGAACACATTACAAGTCTAAATGGATTAGAACATTTGTACAATGTTCTTAAAAGGTTTTACAGATATATCAAGTTCTTTTTCATGTGTTGTATATTGATATAGGTAATGTAGTATCTTGTAATGTAATTACTGTATTGTATTACTGGGAGAAAATAAATATTCTTATTCTAATTCTAAGTTTGGCCAACATTTTCAACACAAAGAAATCCATACTCACTTATTCAATCAATGTATTCCCGATAATTAAAAAAAAATGGCTCTCAAGAAGGAATGTTTCAAAATCATGAATTGCTTTACTGGATAATCCAGGATTTTCATGTAGCACTCTTTCACTATTCTTCTATACTTGTTCATACTTACATTTTATTTTATTTCTTTTTTTAATATTATATAAAGTTTTTGTAGCTCATACATCTGTTTCCAAAGCAGAGGACAATCTTACAAAAAACATATATTATGATTGAATAGGTAATGATTTTAATTATTTTTTTAAACTGTGAACTTCAAGATTTTTTTAGCAGGAAAGTAATACAAGAAAATACTGTGTCCAATTACTGTATTGTTTAGTGATAGTAAAACAATACAACAATCACTATCCTTACTCTTATCTGTAGTTCAGACATTTAGTTACTGGCTAACTAACGTAACTTCATTAAGCTTTATTATCAATCGGTGTTCAGAAGTTTTTATTTATTTTTTGTCTAAGACTCCTGTTTAGTATTTTAGCTTTGTTATACTTTATTTTACCAGGATCTTATGCCAACCCATTGCAATTTCTGATTAATTCATCTTGGTAATGTACTAGCTGTTTACATATCAATTAAAATCTTGTAACTTGGAATAATCTTTCGGTGTCTAAATCTAGAAATCAGAGTCAATCTATTTAATCTACTCTTTGTCTTAGGATAGGTCAAATGCTTTGTTCCTAATTATAGTTAAAAAGAAGCTAGACCAAGTTTCTGCAAAGTTTTTGTTTACTTAAATAGGCAAAACTTTGGCAACAACGACTTTGTCAAAATATTGTAAAGCGATGTGAAATTAATGTAAAAATGTGTTACCACTGTACATTGTTAAAATTTTATTTATTCACCTTAGTGCTATTTTATTTTTTGCCAATTCAAACTAATATTTTTTCTGTTAATATAATAAATAAATGTAAGACTAAATACCCCCGCCGCAGCAAACCTGCAGACTAAGCGAATTTCCATTTGCCTGATTAGGTTTACACTAAAATGTCTCCTTAAAAATATCACTTTTATTCCCTATTTAAATAGAATCAGTTTAACACATACGTAGGTTTGCTGCAACAGGGAGGGTAAAACTGTTTTTTATGTAAAATGTTAATAGTTAGTAAGAAATAAAAACATTTTCCAAATTTGGGCAAAATATGTTAATAAACAAGCAAATTACAACAGTTTACTTATTCTCCATAAGAATAACATGGGATTTTAAATTAACAATTTTTTGGAATTTTCTCCGTAACCATTAGGCGCATTATAACGCTTCAATATACTAAATTATTTGTTTTTTTAAGCTCTACAAAATAGTTTGGAAAGAAATTGCAAAATTTTATGTTTTTTGGGTCAAAAATTGGAAAAACCCATTTTTACCCCATAAAAGCCCCCATAAACCCCCGTTCCTATGGTCCGATCATGCTGGTTTGCGAACTCATTTGAATAAATGTAGGTTTACACGTTTGTACCGAATTTCATCAAAATCGGATCATTTTTGCTCGAGTTATCGCGCTAACGGACACATATATATATATATATAAATATATATATATATATATATATAAATATATATATATATGAATATATATATATATGAATTTGAACGGATGGTGTTTTTGGCCTCTAGGGACCTCAAAACGAAAAAAATATCGGTCCCGGGTCCAGGTCTTACCATGAGTACTACGGTAATAGCTTATTCCCTATATGGGAAATTCGCTAAAAACAAGAATGTGTTTCTTTGAATATAAAAAAATATCATCTGATTGTTGTAAAAATTAATTTGCTTTTCGGTAATTTTAAATTATGAGTTAGTATGAATAGGTGCAGGTTAAGATGAAGCTGGATTATTAAGTCATTATCCAACTAATAACAAGCTTGAAGGCAATGCTAATGGAAATAGCTGTGGCAACTTTCTAAATGATTGCCAATTGAAGTGAAAATTAACGGTATTCCCCTTCATCAGGTTAGGGTGTCATTTAACAGGTCCAGTTGAACCTTTTTTTACAAAGCTGGATTTTTACGTTTGGTACAGACTGATTAAAAACTAGTAAGTATAATCATGTAGACTAATTCACACTGTAACTAACACAATAGGATATAATTAATTGGCTATTCTAATCCACAGATGGCATATTAACCAGGTGCATGCAAATTTGCAAATTGTAGGCTAAATTTAGCAAACCTGCTTAACTGAATTGCTTAAATTTTATCTGTTGTAAATTTAATCGCACTGTGTAGGCCTACTGAAATTAAATTAGTTTCAGTCTAAATCCCGAAAATGTTTCACAAATTTTAAATAAATAAAGTAATTATGTGTGTACAGATGAAGCACTAGACTTTCTGTCCTGGATTCCCTGGTTTGAATCCCGCTAATTACCAATAACTTATAGTTTTATGATAACGCTGTGTCCCAGAGTTTTGGAAACTAGATTAAGCTGTAGGCAAGGGTGTCCATCCAAATTTTCCATTAAGGGGGGCGGGGATCTGTGGGGTATGGAATAACCCCCAGTAAAGAGATGGGGCTGGGAAATGTTTGTTTAGGTACAGAATGGTTGATTATACTTATTTTTATACCTAAATTTTCAGTTTCAATTTGTTCTTTATGCTTACTGCTTTGGTCACTATTACCCCTAGTGGTAATTGGCCTTCCAAGCACAGTGTCTCCACTAATCTCTGTCTCTCGCCTCTTCCTGTTTTCTTCCCAGTCTCCTTAGATCCTTTCCCACTTGGTCCAACCATCTCTGCTTTGGTCTTTCAAGGAGTCTCCTGCCTTCTGATTTATTCTCCAGAACTAAACTTTGATAAGGAGCCTTCTTTTCCTGCCAATCTCATTCATCTACTCCAAAGCCTCAAATACAGTATGACTTCCTCACTTCTCTCTTTCTATAACTCCTCCAGTTTCCCTCCTTCAATAACTCCCTCCAATGTCCATTCTCATAAGTTGGTACATACACTTTTCTCAATATTTTTTTTCTAACACAATATTTTCCATCCTGTTTTTATTGAGTGTCAAATTTTCTGATCCATATGTCTGATATTTTATGTTTTCACTACACAATGTAAAAAATGTGATCAACACAGGGTCTCATAGGGTGGGCTCGAGGCAGGGCTTCCATATTGATGGACACCCATGGCTGTAGGTTCTTTACCAAATGGAGATAGATCTCTTTAGGGCAGCAAAACTGTAATTATTGGACATCTCTGTACACAAAATGTCATATAGTAATTTAAATTTATCAGAACTAAAATTACCACATTATTTTTTTATTAACATAAGATTGGCTAACTTGGATTTTATAATTCCTTTTATGATATGTCTAGACACATTTCAAAAGTTTGGTTTGAAATTTGGGGGAATCTATTGTTCATCTTTCTATTTGAAATCATAATTTATACTCATTTTATGTACGGTAGTGAAATATTTCAAATTGGATTAGAGAACACATGAGGCTGCATATTTAAGGCAACGATGAATCAAAACGAGTGTTGAATGGATTAAATGATAATTTAATCCATTCAACACTAGTTTTGATTCACCGCTATCGCTTTGTTTCTGGATGGGATCAACTGGTTCTGTAGCAAAGACCAATAATTAAAATGTCAACGATCAAAGAGAGTTGGGACCATTTTCAAATCATCAACAACCTACTGACTATTCTCAGAATCGAATCTGCAACCTTCTAATTACCAGGCAAGCACTGATGGTACCCAACTATATTAGCACCTGTATGAAACTTATTGACCTAAAAATTTCAATGGAAACTAACAAGTTCCAACAATATCAACATATGGTTGCTAAAAACACATGCATACCCAGCATACAAATAAAATACAGTTAAACTCCAACTATTTGGATCATTTAAAATTGGGACTTGACCCTGTCCAGTTGGTAACAAACTTGGAAGTTGGATTTTTCATATAAATAGTTTTTTTTAATAAACAAAAGCGGAAGCGGACAGCTGCACTTGGCAGTTGACTTAGATTACTGATCGTTACAACACTACAATAATTGTAACGGTACCGTACCACACGTGATTAACAAAATTGGCACTCACTAAACAAACTAATCAGGCGACAGCAGACTGAAAAAAAATTTCAAACACTAAATGTACCTAATTATTTGGCTGGAGCTTAATGTACTTAATTGTTTAACTAAATTAAATTTATTTTTTCCCCTTTTTTTTATTAATTTAATTTTTTTATTATTTTTGAAGTGGTGGTTTGCGTGGAGTTTGACTATATCGTAAAATGGTTGAGCATCACATTAATGACATCTGTTACAGCCATGTTACCCATACCACCCAGGTTTGGGGAGTTACTGCGACAGAGGGTACCGATTGTCCAATGGCTGCCGACCTACGCCCTCGGAGACGCAGCGTGCGATGTCATCGCTGGGATCACTGTTGGACTCACGCTTATGCCTCAGGCCATTGCCTACGCAGGCCTAGCCGGCCTCAGCCCTCAGGTATCATAGTTAGGGACACAATATTCAAAATGTTATAACTAACTTATAGTTCCAACTTATTAGTTTGTATTCAAAAGTCATAATGTGTATTTCAATCAACCTCTGAATATGATTAGAATATTTATGTTGATACACCATGGTTTGTATTTTAAGGTGAAGATGGATGTAGAATACATACAAAGTGAAATACTTAGTAGCTTTGCAAAATTATCAGGAACAGCTGAGTCAAGTTTCAATTTACAAACTAATATAACCTCTTTCAGGATTAAATCAGCGATTTACTGAGGATTACTAGACAAGCCCTAACACCAAGTATTGGTATTTTGTGGTAGTGATATCTTTGACTTTGGATAGAGCTAGATATTCGATATTCCCATCCATTCCTATGCTAAAGTTATTAAGTTATTAGCGGATTTGCCTTTATATTGACCTAAATACAAAGTACGTCAGTGCCTCTCGAGAACTAGACATTACCATACATTTCAAAAGGAGCTGTTTGTGGTCTTTATACACACAAGATTTTTCCTACCAACATAATTAATCTATCTTAACTCGCAGATTAACTTTTTAGTTGTATATAAAATAATTTTGGTTATGTTTGTTTTCTTACGTTGTCTATTTGTTTATTATTGGATTGAATGTATGTTACGTCTTTTATAGAAAAGCCAAAGCCAACAATGAAATCAGCGGATTTAGCGAGGGAGCGGGAATGAGAATAGTTAAAGCAGAATTGTGCAATTTTGCGTACTGTTTACACGTGTGGCAATGTGATCATTTCCATCCAGTGGTTGGAAAATCGATTAGTGTAGTAGTTAAATTTAGCCACCAACAGCGTATGTTGATTTAAATTTAATTATTTCCGTCCAACATGCCAACTTGTAACCAATCCAAACAGAACGGACAACTTATGCTTTAGCACTTTTAATGTCAGATAAACTATCACAGAAGCAAAAGTACCAAGAAGTGAAATAAATTTGTCTTGTGCAACTACTAGCTATCTCAACGTTGTACCGAATGAGCAATCAAAGTTGGTTGTTGATTGTTGGCAAATCTTTTCAAAAACTTTCATTTATTCACACAGTTCCTTTAATACCATCCTTTACTACCATGTACTTCTTTCCATTCAATATTTGGGATGCAACTTGGAATGATAAAATACTCACTACTTTTCTCTGTTTCAGTATGGGTTGTACTCTGGCTGGGTTGGATGTTTGGTTTACATCGTGTTTGGATCCACTAAGCAAATCTCTCTAGGTCCTACAGCGTTGGTGTCTCTACTTACGTTCACGTACACTCACGATCTCAACGCTGACATGGCTGTTTTCCTTTGCTTTATATCCGGTTGTGTTGAACTCCTGTTCGGGATTCTACATTTGGGTGGGTAAATTTATACTCTAACAGCAGATAATGTATTCAATTTATGGCTAGTATCCAAATCTTTAGAATCGTGATAAATTTGTTTGGACAACAAATAAACCCCACCAATTGTCTACAACCTGTTCTTTTAGTTTATCTTTAGAATATTCCAATTTTAATTGCATTGTTGTAGACAATTTAATTTTACATATCATATTACAAAAGTCATTGATTGTTAATTTAAAGTACAGATTCCTATTTGAATTTGATGAATCCTATTTTCATCTTTCATATCCTACTTATGGTTTTAAAATAGGTGTGTTATGCCTAACGAAAAACTAATTAACGCATTCACTCCCGTGTGTCTGGAGACTCTACATACAGAGAAGTGTGACGGCCGGTACTGAACCTGTTAAATACATACTATCCATCCAACCTGCTTGTAACAGAGCAGTAAAATAGAAAATATTTTTGTATCATCAGGTGGTATTTCAGAAAAAAGATTCATTGGAAGAATCATTAGTCTGGTCCCTCTGGATAACCTAATTTATTTATGAACTTTGCTTTATTTAAGATGGATAACATTTTTTATTTGTCCATCCTGTTTGATTTGCTTTTTCTCTTTAAAGTTAATTTATGCAGTCTGATGATCCCATACTATAGTTGTGCCAATGTAATCAATAGATGAATTACCTACTATTATGATTATTAAGGCAATACAAACCACATTACTGTAATTTATTTTAATTTCCAGGATTCCTGGTGGACTTTGTGTCAGTTCCTGTGGTTTCCGGTTTCACCTCCGCTGCAGCTCTCATCATAGCCTCTGCTCAGCTCAAATCACTCTTTGGCCTCAAGTAAAAATAACTGCACACATACTTATTTTCTCGTAATACTTCATAATTTACAGTCCATGTTACCCGTGCTTGGCCTTAATGTAACAATTTTCATTCCCACTGTGTTTTTGTTGCTCAAGAAGAATGTTTCCATTTGGACAAATATGTAATGTATGAGAGGTATGTCATGTGTTTGGTTAGAATAGAAAAATTCTAGTGCACGTTTTGACAAATTCGCCTCATTGTAAAAAAGTTGTGAGATTCTCCTCATATGTATTTGAGACTTGTTTAAATATTGCAACAGAGAGGTTAATATTTCAATATTTAATATTTCAAAGCAGAGAGGTGATTTTGTAAACACAATGTCTGAGGAACTAGGTACTTAATGAATTCCTCTTTTACATATTTGAATATTTTGATATTTAAAAAATAAATCAGCACACTTTCTCACAGGCATTCATTCGTTTCCAAATCAGCCATCAAAATATTTAAATATAAGGCTACGCTACATTAACCCTTCCCGTACGGGTGACGGATATATCCGCCTAAGTCTTTGGCGATAAAGGACGGGTGGCGGATATATCCGCTTATGGTTTTTGATGTTCCGGACGGGAAGCGGATATATCCACCTTCTCTTCAGACAGCCTGGCAGGCGCTTGAGCAGTAACCAGATGTTTCGCGGTACCAAGGGGCCACTTTCCTGCTCTCTCCATGGCTACGCTCTCTCCCACTCCCCCCTCTTTCACGCACCTACCCCTCTCCCATGCACTGCCTACCTCTCCTACGCTCCTCACTCGACGTTTCACGCTCAACACTATCTTGTCTATATTTATTGTTTACATATTGTTCATTATTTATTGCCTAACGTTGTCATGGTCATATCTTCAAAGACGGGAGGCGGATAAATCTGCTCCTTTTCTACTTATCCGCGGACGGGTAGCGGATATATCCGCATAGTTAAAAACGAGTAAAAAATTATTTTGACAGTATGAAGTGTTCCATTGTGTTTATTTTATGTATACTTGTATAACAAAACACAAATAAGGAAAACTTATTTTTATTTTTTCTTATAATTTTTTCCCATTCTATGTCACGATTTCGTCTGTCCAGGAAGGGTTGAAAAAGTTCCTGTTTATTTTGGCAATTTCTTTGATCCACTTTATAGAAATGTTGGATTAAGGTTAAATTTATGGTAAAAGAACAAGTTTTTTATCAATTAAAAATTGTGATAGGTAGCAAACAGATAAGGCATCCACGTAAATTAGTTCAGATAACTTTGTGAGCAGTTGTCAAAACTTTGTCAATTATGAATAATCAACATGTAATTAAGTCTTCCTCAAACGTTTAATTAAACTTTTCAGTGAGATTTTTTAATTCTAACGAATGCAGCAATCACAAACACATGGTCAATTTGGCTTTTCCTTATCAAAATTAAAGAGTCAAATTGAATGTGTTCAGCAGGCTAAACTACTACCAAAACACAGAAACACAACAAACTAACAATTAATAATCAATAATAGGTAATTTGCCGTTAACATTGCTCTTAAGCGGCAGATTTATCAGTTGTATATAAACCCAAAAAGAGATATACATTTTTTTATATGCTTAACCTATTTATATGTATAATTTTATTTCCAATGCAACCTATTGTTAAAAAATACTTATTACAGCAAAATGAGGCCAGGAGCACTACGCTACAAAACTATGGATCATAGGATCAAATTAACTATTTGTTATCTTGCCTTTTTCCTTCTCTATTTACAAGATGAATAGTTTATTTCCACTCTTTCATATTCTTTGGTCCATTGTATTTACTTCCTAGTTCTTTAAGTAACTTAAAGCTGCAGCACAAGTCAGAATAGGTCTACCAACTGTAAGAGTAACTTCAGTTATATTACTCAATTGTGTCCAATACATCGGATATTGTAGTTTAAAGGGCTTAACTCACCTTATGATCAACCATTCTGCTTTTAGGTACAATACAGAAGCATTCCTCGACACTTGGACTGCATTTTTAAGTCACATACATGAAACAAGACCGGGAGATTTGATACTTGGAGTGATTTGTATTGGGACGCTGCTATCTCTTAGAGTAAGCAAGTTACAGTTAATTAATTGACTGCATTATTTTTTTAGGCGAACTTTGGGTATCTGGTTCTTTCTTACATTCATCCTTAATTACTACTGACTAAATAGGTGAGATGGTTTTTTGGACTTTCTAAAGTCCCAATTATTAAGAACAAACAGCGGATTCAATATTCAAAGCATCAAAAAGCAACTGACTGTTTTCATGATCGAACCAACAACATTTTGATCACCAGTTGAGCATTATATCCAGGCTTCGGGTAGTTAGCTAGTCTATTGATAGAACACGGAACTTTGGATCCTAAGATTCTGTCCTCATATCCCGCCAAATCACCAACAGATTTCATCTAAGTGATAATGCCGCAATCCCTAGGTCTAGCTTGAAGTAATGTGAAAAAAATATTCCATGTTAGAACCTGTAGTGCCCTAGGACAAAAAAAATCTATAAACTAAGATTAGCTAGCTGCTTGTATATTTTTTAACCAACACTTCATCGAGGCAGTTATTTTCTAATTATTTCAACATTAATTTCAGACACTCAAAGATTTTCGGGTTGGTAACACTGAAAATAAAGAAGAACACAAGGTGATCAACGGAATCATCTGGTTTTTGTCTACAGGACGTAACGCACTGGTTGTTCTCATGTGTTCCATTGTTGCGTTTTTGTTCCAACAGAATGACTGGACCCCATTTAAACTTACAGGTAGCGTAGTCTATTATCTTTTCTCGATAATTTTCTATCATATAGTTCCCAAAAGGTGGATATAACGAAATTCTACCAATAGACCAACTTAGCTTGTAGCTCTTTCTCTATTATCAATTCAAATGTCATTTTGATAAAAAAAAACACATAAATTTCTGAGACAAAAATACAGTACTCTTAATTTTGGAAACCAAACAAAATATAAGTATATGTAGAAATAAATAGGTGAACAAGAATTTACCCTGCTGGGCTGCAGTAATCCCAATGGTGATCCCAGTCCTAGTAGACTGTAGCTGTGAGAGGTTAGGTATAAGGGGGCAAACAAACCCCACACGCATAGAGAAACTATGATGACAAGCAACGGCACCCCACTTGTGTGAAGAAATCCCCCTCTCAGTTAAAAAATCTTCTGGTGAAATACAAATTGTCTTAGTTTTTGCACAAAATAAATGTATACTTAGAAATAAATGGGGGGAAATTTGTAATCAGACATTTCAATGATGTCGAACAGGTAATTTCAAGGAAATAAAACCTACATGGACTATAAAGGCCTTTGGGTAGACTAAATCAGTAATAATGCAGCCAGTTCAACTAAGACAGGTATGTTTTAAAATTCTGGAAAATTTGGACTTACTTTGCTTAAAAGCTGGTTCAGTGATGGAAATTACCATGCGGTAAACATCATTTTCAGGTAAGATTGAGGCAGGGCTCCCTACAATAGGATTCCCTCCGACATCTACGGAGATTAACGGCAGACAACTCGGCTTCACAGAGATGATCACAGAGCTGGGCGCTGGTGTAGTAGTGGTACCACTGATAGCACTAATCAGTAACATCGCTATTGCCAAGGCATTCGGTGAGTAACACATAACGATGATGGGGAAGATGTTTTGCATACGTATTTGAGTTCATTTCCCTCATAGGAATAAGCTATTAATTAGGTCTCATGGTAAGACCTGGACCCGGGCAAAATTTACTTGCATGTTTCTTGTTTTAGAGGCCAAAAACACAATCCTTTCAAGTTCATATTTATTTTGTATATATATCTAAATGTGTCCGTTACCTTGATAACTCAATTAAAAATCATCCAGTTTTAATGAAATTTTGTACAAACATGTAAACCCACGTTTATTTAAAGGGGGTGAACTCCATTGGAACAAACAAAGATGATCTGAGTTTTATTGGGGATAAAATTGGTTATTCCCGTTTTGGATCCTCAAGACATAAATTTTGGTAGGTTTTCACTCATAATTAATGAAAGGTGTTGATGCGAAACATTCACCAGTCAATGGAAAAGGTATTGGTGTAGCTTTGACGTTTTGTTATGTGCCGCAGCCAATGGCAAGAGAGTGGACGCAACGCAGGAAATGATTGCTCTAGGGTTGTGCAACATTCTCGGCAGCTTCGCAAGATCTATGCCAGTCGCAGGGGCTTTCAGCCGCTCGGCAGTCAACAACGCAAGCGGAGTTAGATCACCGATGGGTGGACTTTACACTAGTTAGTCACACCTTCCTTAAGTATACATTCAATCTTGCGCTTGATTGTAGCATTAGTATTGAAAGTCAAATGATTTTTGATGAGAATTAGAGTTTAAAGCACCATGGTACTTGGAACTGAATACATCTGAATCCTTCAGTGACTTATTCTGTTTGACACAAGCATAAGTTTAATCGAGCCAATCAAGCCAAGATTGTAAAGACTTTTTAGTCTGTGATGAATTATATTTTTTTATCATAGGTCTACTGTGACATTCTCTAAGCTAATTGTGTAAATAATTTGACTACTATATCAACTGGCTATTTCATTTTGCTATTTGTTTATCAGATGGTTTATTTTCTTTTTTCCAATAGTCGTTTTATTTTGAAAGATGAAATAGTTTGGTTTATTTATGCTTGCTATGCTTGGAATTTCAGTGTTTATTTTACTCCAGAATTTATAATGATTACACTAACTAATTCACAAAACACAAATAATTGTACACTGTTCTCACATTGATAAGTTAGCTTCCGAAATGGCTTTCATTGTTTTTACTACAGTAAACTAGCTGTTCCTGAGCTATTCACCTATTTAGTCTATTAACGATTGCGTTAGACAAAAGCAGCATTTACAATAATTTACAACAATCAAAAGCATGCTTATTTTTGTTGATGATATTTCAATAACAGTTTTTCAGTGCTTACAACACTAATTTTCTTTTCCGCAAGAAGTCAATAACAGATCAAAGAGTATTGTAAACATTTGAGCTTAACAATATGAGGTTAACATTTGTTGAAAACACACAGTCAAAAACCATGTTTACAACGAAATGTTATGAAATTCTGTTACCAACAGCTGATATAAATTAAATTTTTGAACATTTTGTCATAAACTCAGATGTAAACACTGCTTCTGAAACTAAAATATAGGTATTGGATTATCATGATGACTTTTAATATAAGATTTAGTAATCTTGAGTCTATTTAATATTTTGCCAGGGTAGCATTTCTTAGATATGGGCTGATATTTATCTGGTATATCTCAGGTGTCCTGATCCTATTGGCTCTGGGATTGTTGACTCCCTTCTTCTTCTTCATCCCAAGAGCCTCTCTTGCCGCTGTGATCATGTGTGCTGTGCTCTTCATGATTGATCTTCAAATCATCAAACCAATGTGGACATCCAACCGTAAGTGTCTAACAAGAATTATAATAAATTTTATACTACTGGAAAGTCAATTACTAATAAATAATAATACTGTTATCCTCTACCGTTCTAAATTGATGTAGTTTACGACGTGTTTTATCAGCACAGTGACATCATCAGGTAATCCGCTCTTGTTTCGTCTTCAATTTTAATATAAAACAGTCTCACAATACACAAACGTGTGTTAAATGTGTGTTTGTGAATTTAGTGACTGTTTTATGTTACGAAGACTGTTTTGTGTTGAAGACCAAGCAATAGTGGATTACCTGATGATGTCACTGTGCTGAAACGCATCGTAAACTACGTATCAATTTGGAACGGTAGAAGGTAACAGTGTATTATTATTTATCAACAAGAGTTGTTCCCACAATGGACTGAGCAATGAAAGCCCCAAACAAGTTCAATATAAAAAATGTCCTTGTGGACCAGATGTCCATCCGATTCTAAAACATGAATAGTTATTGGAATGGACTGGAAAATTCAACAACAAAAGTTTTAAACATTAATTCCTGTGGATTAGATGTTTACCACTGATTCCATTACATAGTCAAAGCTGGTCTTATAGATCTACCTCACTATTAAAAAAATCGAGTTCCACCAGAACAAAAACAACTGCACTGTTTGAATATTGAAATAACAAGCTCTTGGTGAGTTCCAAGAATGAGGGCACATATTCAACTTATTATTTTATTAACAATTCTGCTAGATTTTTTGATATCTACAGTTGAAGATTATTCTAGATTTATTTACTTGACTCTTGAGTATTCATTGTCATTCAAACTCAAATAGCTATACATTTTTAACGTATGTTGGGTTTTATTTTCAGGCAGAGATTTAGTTCCAGCTCTGGTCACTTTCATCGCCTGTCTACTAGTTGGGGTGGAAAAGGGGCTGGTTATTGGGGTGGCAATAGATGTTCTTATTCTTCTCTACTTTAACGCAAGGCCTCGTGTTTCCATTGATAAAGTGCAGGTAATAAGACTACAATTTACACCACATTAAGTGCTTTTACGATTGAAATGCTGCAAATATTTGTCACCCCTTCAAATTCTGAACTGTCTTTTACATCTGTTTTGCACCTGAACCAGCCTGACGTTTTAAAATATTAAGCTGCTGATTTTAAAGTATTAATTTGTTCTAAATTGATCAGAAAAATGTGACTATTTTAATTTTTGGCACATTGACAAACAGAAGTATGTCTAGATTACTGGTAATGGTATAGTTGTTTCTGCGGTAAAAACGAATCATATTATAGGTAACTTTGAACTGATTAGATATAGTAGTCAGTTTCGTTACTGCTCTCAAAATTAGCCATGTGCAATGACGTTTAACATCAGCTGACATTATCCGTTATGTAACACAATTTTAAAGTAAAGTAACCCAAAGATCATGATATTGTAGCAAAGTATTACACGAGGAAATATTTCAGCAGTGGCGTATCCATGTTTCCAGCACCCTGGTTTGGGTATCACTGTATTTGCCTAATTAGTAATTTCGATTTCATAATTGTTAACAAAACACAACAGAGGTAACAGTAGAACACCAGAAGGTGACAGTTTACTATAATAAAATGACATTTCAGTAGTAGGAAGTCCTTAGCGAACAATTGCCCAGGTGGGTTAGCTCGATACAACAACCAACAAAAAAAATTGAACAAAAAAATCATGAGGGGAAAACCGGGATTTTTCATAATTCAAAAGCTGGAATAAACAGGATTTCTCAACCCAGTAAGCGGGATAATATTTTTGAGTCGTGTGGTCATGATTTTTTGTTCAATCCCGATTGTTATATTTGACGTATCATGTTTAAATAGTTGTTTAAACATTGCTATTATATTTTGCTACATTAGCTTAATCAATTGGAGTTAGTTTTTCTCTAAAATTAAGTGGAATAAATAAAAAAAACGTCATAGCCGAAAATCCTGTTTTATCCCGCACCCCATTTTAATTCCTCTCGTGGTCTAAAAATCGTGTTTTTGGGATAATAATCCTGTGTGTGGAAAGATAAGTTGAATGAATTAGCTATATTTGGCTTCATTACAACATACTCGTGTGTGTCAGAAAAAATAGTCATATACAATTTTTTTAAGACTTGACACATATCACGGTCACACTGTTTAGTTTTGAAAATCAGCTCAAATATATTCTGTGAATGTCACAGATATTTTCAATTATTTATGTTTGGTAACTGGTATCCTGGCAAAGAAACCATTGAAAAAGAACCCTCAACATAAAACATGGACATCATTTTTCCAGGGCTCCCCCATCTACTGGGTAGTACAACCTCACGGTTCATTGTTGTTTCCAGCTGTGGATTATGTTTGGGATAAAATCGTCACCAAAGTGAAAGAAGGCGAACCGACAACTCTGGTATTAGACTGCAGTTACATCCTTCACACAGACTTCACAGCGGCTAAGGTGAATCTTTTGGAGCTTGTAACAAAATTGCAGTTTACGCAATGATCTCCTAAAGATAGTGTCGTTAAGACTATTATTAACGTGAGTTGCGTACACTACTTTACCTTTGACAGAGTTTTAATTACTAATAATATAATAATTACTAATCAATACTCATAACTTCTAAGAGAGGTTATGTTTTCGTTTATAACCTCTCATTGCCACTGACAGTGATGCAACAAATCATTGTACCAAACACTAATTGCACCACTCCTTAACAATTAAATTGACCTGAACAGTTGATTACAACTGCTGAAGTTCGAAGCATTACAATTTTACTTCTTTTCTCTCTATCCTTGAACATCATTTGTCCGTTACCCATGTTGTTAAGTAAAAAAACAATGCTGTTAAGTAAGTAAACAAATGTGTTGTTAAGTGAATCTTTTCAATTCTAATTACTGAACTGACGCGGCCAGTAAAAAAAAACGATCGTGGGTAAATATTTTTACCTACTACCGTGTTTTAAAGTAGCCGTTTCAGTACAGTTCTTAGAATTGAAAAGTATCCCATAACAGCATTGTTTACTTTCACAACAGCATAGTTTTACTCATAACAACACGGGTAACGGACCAATGAGGTTCAAGGATTGAGAGAGGAGAAGCAAAATTTTAATGATTCGAAATTTAACTAATCAGCTGTTCAGGCCAATTTAATTGTTGATTGGTGCAATAAGTATTTGATACAATGTTTCGTTGCATCACTGTCAGTGGCAATTAGAGGTTATAAACAAAAACATAACCTCTCTTAGAAGTTATGAGTAGTCATCATGTCGTTCTATGTTCATGTCTCTATCTTTACGCCATCGTTGCGTAAACTACTATTTTCAAACTTGCATTGACTTTTAAACACTGAATTTGGCATTCTATCTATATAAGGATCACCTTTAGCCAACAAGAACATGCTTGAACAAACCAAACACAGAGTGTGCTACAGTCTAAAATTATATTTTCTCACTTAGTTTTTGTTGCCGTGTTAGTTGATGTTAGTAATGGTTGAAGCCAGAAATTTTAAATCTCAAAACCAAAACTTAAACTTGAAAAATTAAATCCTGACTCTTAAAGCTTTAACCAAAAGTTTTTCCTATAACAAGACACTGACATAACAACATGATGAGATCAATTTGTAATTTATTGAATTAATAGCGTAGTTGAATCTTAAATTTTGAAACTAATTTGAGATTTCAAATTCGGTTTTGATGCATCACTTGAGATGTCATCAATTGATGGAACGTAAAAGATGGCTCTAGCTTACAATAAGGTTTTGGACTGGTCGAAAAGTCAAAGATTACTGATTTAACACCAACAAAATCACTTATTTTGCAGGGAGTCTCGTCAATGATTGCTGACATCAAGAAGCAAGGCGTCCAGGTTATTCTACTGAATGCGACAGACACAGTGGTGCACTCTCTCTCATCAACCTGTCCAAACCTGCGGGTGGCCAACTCGCACCAACACGTCCAGCAGATACTGTCAGGTCAGTGCTGCCACAATAATAAAACAATAAGTCCAATGTTGGTGAAATCAATTAAGAAAAAAAACATTGCAGGTTTGATTGAATTTTTGGTGGATGATTGTCACTTTTAATTAAAATATTGTTTTAAAAACTTGTGAATTATTTAGTTTCAGTGAAATCGACTGTATCAATAAATCTAACTTGTGGCTAAGAACATTGCAAAATATGTATTGCCTCAGTCAATATTACTCGTCAGTACAGCAAGAATCTAGATAAGCAAATTATAGATGACAAAGATGAGACAACACCATTCTTTATGTGCAAGTCTAATCATTGATTTTTGGATACTGAAGTAGACATCCCAGTTTTATGGACCAGCTGTTATTAATGTTGTCCTGTTATTAAAAAAGGACATGACCCACCCTCAGGAAGCACCACAGTCTTTAATTTTCTGTCTTAGTTTGTCATTCATTACTTAGACAGATTTGATATAAAATATGCTATACCTTACAAAAAGTGGTTCTATAATTTTGACTTGGTCAAAAAATTGCATATTCAACAGAAATCAGTAATTTACATTACGCACGCAAATTTTGTCAGTGGTTCCATTCAACTACGTCCATTTTGATTCAAGACCTGGCAACAACTTTAACAAGACGATTGAAAGTCTAGTTACACTCACTCAAAATACATTGGGCTTTCTCCACGTCCTTACAGAAAAAAATACGATTGCATATCTGGACATAACTCTTGAAGGGATGAAGATCTTTCATTTGATTCTAAATTATCATTTTGTTATTCCAAAACTGAACGAATGACAAATCTTTGATTGGATGAATTCACAATTTAGTTTTAGAAAAATCTGAACAACGTGCTGACAACTTAGGCATGATATTATAAAGGTTTTTCTGAAGACCAAAATATTTAGCATTTTTATAACAAGTTTTACTTTGCTTACAGAAGATCCAATAAAAATTGAGAGTGGTTTACAACTGAAATCCATAAACAATGAAACATGGTGAGTAATTTTTAATTTTATATTTATTAAAAAATTTGTTTTCATGATTTTTGTAAGGATAGCAGGGATACTGCATGGAAAAGAGTCCAAACTGGCACAATAATTAACTAAGCTTTTCACTAAACATACATTTAGAATATTTCATTGTTTCTGATAGAGTTTTAGATTAAGGAAGGCTAGTGAATAAAAAAAAAAACTCAAATCATAGACAAATAAAATAAATATAGACTGTCAAAGGAAGCTTCCGCAATGTGCCGCTAGAGTGTGCTCAGTGTTTGATTCGCTGTCGTCGTCGGCTCCTCACCGTTTGCTACCAGCAGACGCTGCAGCGGTGTTCGCCGTAACTACACGGGACTTCTAGCAGTGGGCGCTAGAACATATGCTAACCGCAGCACTGATGTCGGTCTATATTTAATTTGTTTTGTCTATGCTCAAATTGAGAAAAAACGTCCCTAATACTGGTTGTTACAGAGGACTACCTCTTATCCAGACTCCTCAGGACCAAGGCCAGTCCAGATAACGGTTGTTCCGGTTAAACCAAGTCCCTAAAAATTTGTTAAAACGGACCGTTTAAATGCATACTGTATACATATTTGACTTAAATTTAGGAGAGCATTGTATTTAGACACGTGATCACTGGTCTGAACTCTTTCCCACGAGAACAGTCGTTTCAGTACCGCCCACTTCCTGCCGATCTAGTCCGGTTAAACTGATGCGCTGGTAAAAATTGTCCGGTTAAAGAGATTTCATTTCCGCCGAGTGTAGCCTGGTTAAACCGATGTGCGGTAAAAGGTGTCCGGATAAGAATGAGTCTACTGTAGGTGATTTCTTGTGACGAGGTTATCAGAGGACAATTGAATCAAGTACATTACGTCTGAGGATGGTTTATTCTACCTTTTAGCAATTTTTTCCTTTCTAAAGAGGTTGGTGGCCTATTTTAACCTTGCATTTGCCAGTCCACATGGACCCGACTCGATCAGATCCAGTTGAATCGCAGGTTAGATCAACGAACTTTAGTCCCGAGCTATACTCATACTTTAGTGTTAAATATATCAAACCCATATTTTACTACGTTTGAACAACTTTCTTTTGTACTGTCTGTTTTTTACTACATTTTTTAATCCTAAAATGTGAGGTGTGACTTTTTGAGTTATGAAATCCATATTTTTTATCTATTTCTTTAGCTTGTCTAAAACTCCTTTGCTGATTTTCTTCAAACACAAGTAAGTAAGGTATTGAACAATGATGTACCATTGTTCAGTCTGATATAGCGGTTTAATAACAAAGCATATATAATTTGCTTTGAAATGTTTATGGTTTGCCAAAAAGTGGAAACTGAGTATATATTTGAGTATATATTAATTCAGTGGATGAACTCTAAAACTTTTATGTGAATATGCTACAAAGAATCCCCTTAAATTATTAACACTTTTCTAGATGGAATTTGACAATGGCTACAGTGAGTTAACTAATTGTTAGTGAATAGTGAATACAATACAAATATCACAACCCATTTTTAATGTACTGTATTGAATAAATGATTTTGATCATTTTGTTTCAGATGCTGAAACTATTTTTGTCTAGCTGATGCACGATTTCAGCTTCATCTAATTTAATTGAATATTAAGGAGAAAGGTCTGTTTTATAAACTGAGTTTCATCACAGCGAGATTTTCTCACAACCAAAGTTTAAAAATGTACGTTCAAGAGATCAAAACATGACCCTAGCTTGGTACTACACTTAAGCTTGACACTTATTTTTCCCCCTAGAGAAAACTTGATCCTTTATTACATTTTCATTTCCTAATTAGATTTGGATTTAAAGTAACTAATCTCTTTAATTTGACGGTGAAATAAACTTCAGTGCAAGATATACATAACTTATATTTTTACTAGAGAAACTCTGCATTCTTATGTTTGTAAATATCTGTAAATAAAACAAATAAAGTATTTTTTGTTATGCTGCACTTATTTTATTTAAACCTCTTTAACTTTAAGCATAGCACTATAACATACAGTAGAACCACAACTATATCTGGTCATCGGTTATCCACATGGTTTCGGAAATCATATAGAACGACTGTGCACCATATAGCAGGTTTATTGAAACAACACCCCCTTTGTATCCTAGAGGATAAGAGTTGGGATTTGAAAAGGTTCTCTTTCTCATTATTTTAGCACTCTTCGTACCACACTCCTAAGGGTAAAACACAGTTGAGCAGAGCAGGTCGCTTGTAGCCTAGCTGGTTGCTTGGCGAGAAGCTTTACACACACCAGCTGATACTCAGTCGTGTTGAGATGGAATTACAAGTGAGGAAGAATTAATGTTCAAAAGTTCTGCTTCTACTTGGTTTCTGTTTACTCAAGTAATGCGGGTTACACACCGGTATCGCAGACATAATGTCGCCGATATTTCTGATGTCGCGGGCATGATGTCTGCGACATATAATAAAATACAACCATGGGAAGAAGCACATGCTGGCGACATGAAAGTGAAGGAATCACAACATTCATCAGTTTAAATAATGTCATCGTCAGAAGAAGATGATGTATTGTTGCTGTTGTTCTTTTTACAAAAACATTAAAGATAACTTCATGGTAATTTTTCCAAAATACAATTTAATTAATTGAATTAAGGTAGTTACGTAATTTCCTTATGGTGTCAATAAGTATTATAATATCAGAATACTACATTTCACACCATAAGGCAATTAAGTAAGTAAAAAAACGCCAAAACTACTAGAAACGTGTTCTGCGCATGCGCGGGCCCAACAGACAAGAGACATGTCTGTCCAAACACTGACCGGTTTGTTTGCTTGAGACACACGCCTGCGACACGAGTCGCAGGCAACGTGTCTGCGACAATGGTGTGTATAGCTCAATAAGTTAACATAGGTTGGTTTTCGAGGGGCATGTCGCAGGCACGAAAAAATATCTGCGACATCATGTCGGAGATACCGGTGTGTAACCCGCCTTAAGTGCGAGCAAGTGTCAGTTTCATCCTAAAAATCACAAAAGAAAGATGATCTTGATTACAAACGTCCTGAGGAACAGCAAAGTACTGATATATCTGAGTTTAATTTTTGGAATTTAATTTTATCGCTGTATACGATGTTAGAGGCACACTGTATTTAATAAAGTCATCATTCGTAATTCCCTTGTACCATATAGTACGAAATCGGGTTTAAAGTCCACTGCTCACAGAGCCACAAGCCACCTACTGCTGTTGTTGCAGTGGAAACCATGAATTGCTAGCAAACGTTTTAAGACGCCGCACAGGTCTTATTGAGGGAGGATCGATCTTATAATTGACAAGCAGTAGTTTCTAAAGATGTATTAGGCTATTCAAAAATGTTTTTTCTGTAAAAGACCCTACAAGATGTGCAAGTCATGAGCCGACCAATTTCTAAATTCCTTGACAGTGCCTTTTCACGAGGGAGGGAAATATCACTAAAAAACTAAACAAATAAACTGACTCAATACACCGTACTCTGTGAAAGATACCCGAGTAAAACATTCAAGCCAAGGAACACCGCTGGTCCTTTTTCTTGCATTTCTCAAACTTTGCATCCTTATGGTTCATATTAGCCTATGCTGAGTTTTTGAGACTGTTAAAAATATTATATAGACTAATCAAATTGAAAAAAATATATACCAATGATTGACAATTGGATCATAATAAGGGTCTTTGGAGATTGTTTAAACTTTGATATGGGGATATAACAACTAAACTAGGTCTTCTAAAACTATCAAAAATGTTTACATTTATACTGTAGACATTTATAAGATGGTATATATGTTACAGAGTAAGTACGGTATGTTTATAGAAATGTTAAGGGTGCGCTCTACCCATGACGCGCAACCGAATGCAGGGGTTTGCAAGATTACTGTTTTCACCTGCTACATTGAAGGTAGAATCAAATTAAGGTCTCATATTAAAGAGGATGCAATTTTTTATAGTTCTGCGTTTCATTATTGCCTGACTAAATAAATCATTTTCATTCATTCATTCATTATTTCATTAATTTTAAATACACACCTTATAAACTTGATTTTTAGGACAAGAAAAAAGGTCTTTTCAACTAGCCCTAACTTATTGAAAAAACGTTATTTGAAAATTTGAAAAACGCAGAACTATAGATTGGTATTTGCACTACTATAAGCCATTTAGGTAGCTATCATTATTGGTTAATTCGAAAACAGTAATCTTGGAAACCTCTGCAAGCGCTTCTCGCAGCACTGTCCAATGGTGCAACATAGCAACTGAAGCCCGAGCTGAGGTAGAGCGCGCCCTTAACAGTACAAGTGCTGACATATATTGGTTAGAGTTGGAAGACGTACTTTAGTTATTGTTATTATATTTCTGAAATAGCGCAAACACATAAAAATGTTAGTAAAAAAATTATTTATACTTTTATTTCAACAAGCATCTGTTAAATAATTTTAATTTTTTTATATTTATATGAGGATTGCTTTTAAAAGGTTCTTGAAAAAACAACTACAATATGCTACTTTAAAATTTATTGACAGAAAGAAAACATAAATAGAACACAGCAGTTTTAATATTAATGCTATTTTTTTATTTACAGTTACATACAACAAAAAATTGAACTTGCTGAGGACAAAAGACAAAATAAACAGTAGTTTAATAATAAACAAAGAATATCAATTATACATGTTAAAATAACAATCTAACCTACAGAGAACATGTTGTCTCTAAGCTGTGTTAACACGAGGCCAGTAGAGCAGGCAGGTGTCTCTAATGTAGTTTAAGTTACTTCAAGCACAGAAAACATATTACTATAACCCAGAATGCCAACCGCATGGTAAATACCCCCGCCGCAGCAAACCTGCAGACTTAGCGAATTTCCATTTGCCTGATTGGATTTAAACTAAAATGTCTCTTTAAAAATATCACATTTATTGACTATTTAAACAGAATTAGTTTAATGAGTACTTAGGTTTGCTGCAACAGGGAGGGTAAAAAGTTTTTTTTATGTAAAATGTTAAAAGGTACTGTGGTTTAGTAAGAAATTAATGTATTTTCAAAATTTGATCAAGATATGTTCATAAACAAGCAAACTACAACAGTTGACTTATTCTCCATAAAAATAACATGGGAATTTTAAAATTGCAATTTTTTTGAATTTTCTCCGTAACAATTAGGCGCATAATAACGCTTCAATATACTAAATTATTTGTTTTTTTAAGCTCTACAAAATGGTTTAAAAAGAAATTGTGAAATTTTGTGTTTTTAGGGTCAAAAATGGGAAAAACCTATTTTTACCCCATAAAACCCCCCATAAACCCCCATTCCCATAGTCCGATCATGCTGGTTCGCGAACTCATTCAAGTTTATCCCGCCTTACACCTTCAAACCAAATTTTATCAAAATCGGACAAAAATTACTCAAGTTATCGTGCGGATGGACACATAAGAGATATATATATATCTCTATATATAGATATATAAAAATTTAAACGAATGGTGTTTTTGGCCTCTGGGGACATCAAAATGAAAAAGTAAATCGGTCCCGGCCTTAAGTCTTACCATGAGACCTACGGTAATAGCTACTTCCCTATAGGGAAATTCGCTAAAAGCATTAAGTGTTTTGATAGAGCTTTGCCGGTCAATCGTAGGCAGCGCCACCAGCGTTGCCATGCACTCAGCATAGCAACGCTGGTGGCGCTGCCTACGATTGACAGGCAAAGCACTCTCAAAACACTTAATGCTTTTTACCATGCGGTTGGCATTCTGGGTTATAGTAGTATGTTTTCTGTGCTTCAAGTCACCTGCCCGGCAACTGGCTTTGTGTAAACGCGGCAAAATAATCATCAATGTGCAAAATAAAACATCTTGAAAAGAAAAACATAGCCTAATCATCTATAATATTTAAACTTTTAAAGTCTATATTTCAAATGTTTGTCTATTTTTCAATATATTCAAAATTAAAATACAACATTATTGTGTAACCCTAAACACACACATTGAAACATTAATTTGATTCAAGAATAGTATTTACACGAGTCAGGTTTGAAGCATCCAGTCCTGAAAGAAAGAGAACAAGTTAAATAGAATAATGTATAAGGAAGGTATTTAAAATAAAACTTGTATTGTTATTAGTTTTATATTTAAACTGAGGTGTTGCATTTCAAAACTCACTTATCAACATTTTTTTTTATGCTGAGATTATTATTTGTTATTGTTATTGTTGTTGTTGTTATTGTTGTATTGAGATTGTTATTGTTTGTTGTGCATTATTTGTTGGAAAAATCTGTATTGACTTTTAAAATTCAACCTTTTCAAAACTCACTTTTTTCATTTCTAATTCAATGTAGAAAATCAGGTCTCTTTCCAAAACTAAGAGAACTAATTTAAGGCCCTTGTTGTTCCATAATTCGCTCATTACAACCAGCCAATCAAAATGCTTTATCTTCATGACGTTAACCTCAATTTGTAGCCTTTCTAAAACTCTCTTCCATCTGGCCAATAATGTAGCTGTTGCTACAAATTGTCACGTGACTCTACTTACTGTCAGAGAATGTCATGCAAAAACTCACTCTTTACAGGTAAGCCATGACAAAACTCACTCCTTTTGAAGCTCAATTTCAGGCAAACAGCTGATTGGAAATAGAAAATAAACATTTCAGGAGGTTCCAGAGATAATTTTCCACCAAGATAACCCCAATAACCGCTAAAAAGCATGAGAATTACAATCAAGAAACTTTTTTAGTCTGTTTAAAGTTTGCCAAAGTGCAATGAGTGAGTTTTGGAATGGAAGGCCTCAACTGCTCTTTAGTGCAGGTACAGCCTGTAGAGAATGTTGCGAAGGATTTATCAGCTTGTTAAGACTGTTGTCATGGATTTTTTTTTTAATCTAAAAGG